GATAGATAGATAGATAGACTGAGATAGTTAAAGTAGACTGATATAGATAGATAATTAAAGAAGACTGACCTAATTAGATAGATAGATGAAGATGAAGCAGAGTGAGATGAAGTAGACTGACATAGATAGATAGATAAATCAATTACACTGAGATAGATAAAGTAGACTGACATAGATAGATATATAGATAGATAGATAGATAGATCAAGTAAACTGAGATAGATAAGTAAACTGATATAGATAGATAGATAGATAGATAGATAGATAGATAGATAGATAGATCAAGTAGACTGAATAGATAGATAGATCAAGTAGACTGAGATAGATAGATAGATAGATAGATAGATAGATGATAGATAGATAGATAGATCAAGATTGAGATAGATAAGTAGACTGAGATAGATAGATAGATATAGATAGATAGATAGATAGATAGATAGATAGATAGATCAAGTAGATTGAGATAGATAAGTAGACTGAGATAGATAGATAGATAGATAGATAGATAGATCAAGTAGACTGAGATAGATAGATAGATAGATAGATAGATAGATAGATAGATAGATAGATAGATACGAACAGACAGTGACAGATAGATAGATATGAACAGACAGTAATAGATAGATTAATAGAAGCAAACTTTAATAGATAGATAGATAGATAGATAGATAGATAGATACGAACAGTGACAGATAGATAGATAGATAGATAGATAGATATATAGATAGATAGATAGATCAAGTAGACTGAGATAGATAAGTAGACTGAGATAGATAGATAGATAGATAGATAGATAGATAGATAGATAGATAGATAGATCAAGAGACTGAGATAGATAGATAGATAGATAGATAGATAGATAGATAGATAGATCAAGTAGACTGAGATAGATAGAGACTGAGATAGATAGATAGATAGATAATAGATAGATAGCTGAGATAGATAAGTAGACTTAGATAGATGAAGTAGAGTGTGATAGATAGATAAAGTAGACTGAGATAGAAAGATATCTAGATAGATAGATTAATTAAGTAGACTGAGATAGATAGATTGATAGATAGATAGATAGATAGATATACAGATAATGAAGAAGCTACTCTTGATAGATAGATAGATAGATAGATAGATAGATAGATAGATGAAGTAGAGTGAGATAGATAGATAAAGTAGACTGAGATAGAAAGATATCTAGATAGATAGATTAATTAAGTAGACTGAGATAGATATATAGATAGACAGACAAACAAACAGACAGATATATCATTCAATCAATCAAGCAGACTGTGGTAACTTTCCATCATTTTTATATAGCAGTCCTAAATAATAATAGAATAGATTCGAATAATAAACGACCAAAGAAATCATCTCTTTTAAATCCGTTTCTCAAGACTTGATGCCTGACCATTGAGACGGACACACGTGCAAAATATATTTCCCTGTTCATCAGGGCAACATGTCTCCAGCCGTCTCCACGATACAGTGGAGCACATTATTGACTAAAATGGCGCGAGACTGTGTGGCCGGGTAACAGAAGCAACGACAAAATAATGGAAAACATTGACAGAGAATGACTGTAACTATGACAAATATACATACACATACACATCATACACACATAGCGTAACAAACAAATTAACAGATATGTGAACATGTTTTCGTTATAGTTATTTAAAATCAGTACAGATAATGTAACGAAAATATACTCGTGTTTTTACACAAATACATATTTAATTAATCATATAGATGGAGGCACTTTGCAGTGAGGCACGGCGCTAATTCAGGAGCTGCATTGCCGTGTTCGAATTCCGGTTGCGTTCATTGCTTTCACTTGCGTGCCAATACACATGGAAATGATGTGAATCAATCTCTTGTCACTGTAGCTATTTTTTAAATAGCAGGGTAAACTGGCTTCTATAACCTTAGCTGGCGTCTAGACTTTGAATTCAAACCCAGCCCGCTGAGGCTATCTTGCTCTTCCACTGCGACTGTAATATATCATCATCATCATCATCATCTCTTCTCTTTCTCTCTCCCTCTCTCTCTCTATTTCTGTCCCATCTAGTCTAGTATATATATATATATATATATATATATATATATATATATATATATATATATATATATATTAGTAAACCTAGTGAGCCAGACAAACCTGGATAGGAAGGATTTCTGCCTAAATATACAACTATATATATATATATATATATATATATATATATAGAGAGAGAGAGAGAGAGAGAGAGTTAAATCAAACAAAGAAACAGTAGTATTAAAAAATACTCAATACACGCGTGAAAAGATCAAATAAAACTAAAAATAACATGTAGAGATTATACTTTTAAAAATCAGGAGGTCAATTGAATCCCTTACCCAATCGTATTCTCAGGTGATTTTTATCAAATGACCTCTTAACGCTTTATTTAAAAAAAAGAAAAGAAAAGACTAATGAACGCTAAATTATTCTTTTCAAAAATAAATAAACAAACGCTCGACTTTCTAGTAGAAAGGAAGGAAGAGGATGTGAAGAAGGAAGACGAATTTTTAAAAGTATATATATATATATATATATATATATATATATATATATATTATATATATATTTGTTGAAACTTGACTAATGCATGGAATAATAATACAACACAAAATGTACTTAGAACAAAATGTATTGAAACAAGAATGTGTACACAATATTTACATGCAAGTCTTTTGTATATTCTTGGGAAGACCGTTCCTGGAGAATGTGTTGACTTAGTCGCAATCGGGCAGAGTCTCTGGATTGAATCTCTTGATTCCTTCCCTTGTCTTCCCGGTACCAACCATATTTATATGGTCGGTACCCCCTATGCAAATTAGGTGGATCCTATCACACACACACACACACACACACATATATATATATATATATATATATATATATATATATATATATATAGTTAAACCTAGAGAGCCAGACTAACCTACCAAGGACCAAGGCCTGACGATCCACTTAGGTGAAACCTTGGTAGGTTTTGTCTGGCTCTTAGGTTTAACTAGGTCTGCTCTACTCATTGTATTGAGCACTTTATTTAGTTATTTTGGGTACTCGCATCGGGTTATATATATATATATATATATATGTGTGTGTGTGTGTGTGTGTGTGTGTGTGTGTGTGTGTGTGTGGTTTTATCCAACAGATCTTGAAAAAAATCAACATACCCTTCCAAGTCTTCCAAGAAATACAAATCTTTTGAAAGTAGAAACTGTGATCTATAATTGAAATAAAAGCAGTGATGGCACATAGCCTGAATCCATCATAGAAATTAATGATGTCGATATAATAAATACAAAACAATTCAAATACCTCAGATAATGCATCAGTTATAACACATTTAGTAAAGGAAATGCAACGTAGAATAAGCTGCGCCAGAGGCAGTTTCTCCCAACCCAGCAAAGTATTACAGCAATAAAAGCACCAACCTGTCATATGGATGACATGCATGGCGCCAGACCCGTTCAGAAATATCTAAACTGTCTACTGTATATAAACGCTTCCTCTGAGCAATAGTTAAAAATGGCTTTGAGTGAGTAATGCCTGTGAGTCGTGGCGAAGACCGAACTTCTTCGAAACTTGTGGACTGGCGCTACAGAATCACAAAGAATTTTACCAAATAACAGAAACCACATCAGTTGAGAACTTTTAACAGCAGCAACCACAAAAATGAATCCCAATTGTAAGTCGATGAGAAAATAATGGTATAACCAGGATGTTAATCTTCCACACAAGTTCAAATAAAAGTTTAATAAACTGCCATCAATAATGGGAATAGTGATAACATCTACTAGACTTGAAAAATCTATTTTTTCTTCAAATTCTCGTTTTCAGAGAAAGTTTTTTATAAATTTCAACCAGCAGCAACTGGCTGCTCGGTCAATGAATACCGAAAATTTCCTTATAAGGAAAGGGCTAATACTAGAGTTATCATTTCAAGAAAATTTGACATACAATAATACTTTTTCTATAACGTAATTTTCCTCGCTTTCTGTGTTGTAGTTTCCTTATGAGCAAGCACATTTTACCACATGATACTGCTCAAAAACAATTGCGGCATAAGTCGGTAGTACATTTATTTCACTAACACTATTCAAATCGAATGAATTATCTTTCTCTCATCTTTATTACTGTGTATGATGATAGACACCATCCGGCAGCAAGACCTCTGATCGAGAGATTGGAGGTTTTGTGAAGGGTGGAGCCATCACAATTGTTGTTGTTCCCAGGCACACCCTGACCCTTAGTAGTAGCACCTGTTAGCTCCCCAACTATGGGTAAATAGTGACTCCCCCCAAAAAAAAAACTAGAAGAAATATAAAAAATCTTCATAGTAAAAATACCAACAATATATTTTATATAAAAATTACCGACAATACATATTTATAGTAAAATTATCAACAATGCATTTTATCTTTTATTTATTTTAGTTGAACGCATTTGAACGTTTAAGTTATATTTAATTGAAGCCTTAATGTTCAAAATAGTTATATTTAGGCATTAAATAACCCATAGATGTTGATAGGCCGCTCAAAAAAAATCTAGCACTGCCATCGTTCATTTTATATGGTGTGAGAAGGCAGAGAAAGAGTGATGGAGAGAGAGAGGGGGGGAGCGAATGTATTACAGAAACACGCAAAAGGATAAAAGACGATATTTTGGGGATTTGCTTAAAGGAAAATAATATTATTATTATGAGGGGCCCCAAAAGCCAGGTAAAAAGACTAGCAGTTTCGAATTAAAAACATTGCGTCAGTAATAGAGTGAGTAAACGAAATAATAATAAGAGAAAGTACAAAATCCTGACGGAGAAAGAATGAATGAGAGAGACAAAGAAAAAAAAGAAAGAAAGAAGGAAAGAAAGAATGAAAGAAAGAGAGAAAGAAAGAAAGAAGTAGGCTCCTTGGTTGTGCCGATCGCATTCCCAAACCTTCATTGTTACCGTATATACAGTGTTAGGAGCATTACATCTGTCTGTGTCCATGTTCGATCGATATAGAGTAAAGGACCTTGCTTTATGCCCATTAGAAAACAGAGCGCTGAGTCATTGGTGACATAGTCGGAAAGAGGACAAGCCTGGTAGGGTATGGGGTCTGATTGGACAGGAATTGAATGAACGAAAGAATGAAAAAAGGAAGAAGTGGACGAGACCAGAGAGAAGAAACAACGTTTTATCCGAGTTCTGAGTGGGAGAGTAGTGAAGAGACAGACGACAATAGAAAAGGTTCGCTTTGAGATGCTGCAAAGATGGCGTTGATGTGGAAGAGAACGGGCAATGTATCGAAAAGAGTAAATTGAATAAGGAGAGTAAAGAATATTGTTTCATAGAAACTTGGGGAGTTGGAAATTGCGAGGAGAAAAAAGAAAAAGTCGGTATTGTCTGTGACAAGAAGCGAGGTATGAAAATGGAGAAGTGGAAACAGCAAAAACAAAGACACACACAGACACACAAGACTGGCATGTCTGACATTAAAAAGAATAAAAGTGAAATTGTGATAGACATTAAATAAGAGATAAAGATAACGACTTGTTTAACGTGATTGTTAACAAGCTAGTCTCGCAGACTGAAGGGAGATCACTCCTCACTGAGTGGCTTACGCTTAGTTTCCTTATAGCCAATTTCAAACACTCAAAGGAGACGGTGATAACTTGGTGTTAAGGGAAGTAAGGTTTTAAATAAAATCAGAAAAGACAGTTGATATTTCTGAAACACATAATGAAAAAACGACTTGGAAAATTTGACATTCACAATTCATTTTGAAGTTAAGAGAGACAGAAGAAAGCAGCGAGAAAGCTACGTAACTACAGTGGGTCAATGAGAAATACTGGTAATAGCTACGAAGGATAGGAAGCTGTGCCATTATTTCCAACGTCCTGAGGACACGCGACACGTACAAGATTTTATGCCTAAATTTACTGAAATCTTGGATACAATATAATGTAAACACACACACACATATATATATATATTCAAACATATATTGTTAAATATAACAGATAACTAATACCTATTTGATGTTGACCATGTTCGCCAAGTCTATGAATATAGAATACAGCGCAGTACGTAATCTGTTCAATAAAACAACGTTAAAGATTAATACTCAGGAGTCAGACACTCTACTGGATCTGACTATATCGCCAATACTACCAGCAGCTGTTCCGTAATTCTTCAGTCTTTGATATCAGAGGTTGGCAGTGAATATTCGGAAAAAAAAACATGGCTGACTTTATACACGTCGCATTGAATATTTTGAGCTTTCTGATTGGTTAACCCTTCTATTGGTGAACTATAAAATGAGTCAGCTCATTTTGACTGGCTCACTAGTATACAGAGTACCCAAAAACTGTAACATTTGATGTTTTTGTTGATTACTTTCAGGATGTAGTATAATTGGTGTTGTCAATAGATATTTTCTTAAATTTTGAAGGTGGATAGGAATGTGTCTTTAAATGTGCGATAAAATTTGTATCTGACAAATGGAGCATAAGGCGTCTAGATAATATCGTTGTAGTCAAGCCAACGTATGCACTTACTTTTTTTGTCAGAGATACAATCTCCCAAAGAACATTTATACTGGTATACAATGTTACTCTTTTTCAGAACACTAGTTGACAGAGAAGAGATATTGGGTATAATTAGTTTGGTTGTGTTAAGTACTAGGTTTAAAAAAAAAACTAGAAAACTAGAAATGATTATTACAAAAATAATTAGACATAATATATTATTATATTAAGCAATATATATGTGTGTGCGTGTGTGTATGTGTGTATGTGTATAGGTAAGCTAAGAATGAACAGAATATAATTCCAACGTTCCTAAAGTTTAATTTAAAAGAGGGCTCAATACAAAGTAGAGCAATATTCTTTCTTTTAGGATATAACATCGGAAACGTCAAAAATGTTACACAGTTGCAGTTGCGTTTCGATGCGTATCAACGCATCTCATTAGGCGATTGTGAATTACTTGTCAGTGAACGATGTATTCAGATTTAAAAGCAAAATACAGCCTCTTTTTACGAAAAAAAAAAGTAAAATAGCGTGGGTGGTTATAAGGTTTGTGGGCTTTACTCAGATCAACCAATCGAATATGACATACGTTAAATTAAAAATAAAGGAAAATGGGTCATGACCCGTAGATATGCAATCAATGGCAGCAGACAGCAATTGTGTACCAATTTTGATTTTGACACTTTTTCGATGTATTGTCCTGAAATAAAAAACAAAGTATATATATATATATATATATATATATATATATATATATTGGTGCAAAAATAATGACGTAAGAATGTCGTTTTTTGACGTATTTTTAACGTCAAAAACGACATTCTTACGTCATTATTTTTGCACTAACCCAATATATATATATATATATATATATATATATATAAAAGAACAGTAAGATATATAATCTGGTGTTCTTATAAATATTTTATTTTACAATTTTACTGTGTAGCGGAAAAAACATGTTTTAAATCAATTAATTTATAATATTTTACTGTGTAGCGGAAAAACCATATTTTAAATCAATCAATTTATAATATATATATATATATATATATATATATATATATATATATATGTGTGTGTGTGTGTGTGTATATATATATATATATATATATATATATATATATATATATATATATGTGTGTGTGTGTGTGTGTGTGTGCGAGGATATATTTGTATATATCACCTTTCCTGTTTGGTAAAATAATTACTTCTCAAGCGCTATCAAGTTGGGATTAATCTGACGTTAAGAGAACACGTATGAGACAGAGTAAAGACTGAATTCAAGACGACAACAAGGATCATCTACATTAGCTTGATTGCTGTAGCGTCAATGAATACCCGCCTAAACTATCCTGACTACTCTAGAGGTCAGCTTGTGTCAGTCGAAGCGAAGCTTAGTAAAAATTGCTTTTCGCGAAAAAGCAGTTAGCTAGCTTCTCAATATCATTCCTACTCAGTGTGGATTGAACAATGAGTTCGTCATTCATAACTTCTTATGACACTAATCGAATCAAAGATCTGTAATGTTGATATTCCACAATACTCCAAACAAAAAGTTAGGAAGGAAAGCCTCATCATTATTGGAAAGAGCAATAACAATTACTGGATAAAGGAATCTATTTTCCCCTTAAAATGATCTTAATAGAATGACTAGCATTCTATGAGAGTAGCACTGGTTGCTCAGCATAGAACTACCTCTATTTACCCGAAAAATGATCTTAATAGAATTATTAGCATTCTATGGAAGTAGCACTGGTTGCTCAGCATAGAACTACCTCTTAATTGCTGTTGTTCCCAGGTCCACCCTGATACGGGTGGTAGCACCTGTTTGGGGTCCAGCTTTGGGCAAATAGTTAAACACTGAACTGGAGTCAAAACACTATGAAAATTTAAAAATAGATTGTTATAGTAAAAGTAATAGCAATTCCTTTTGATAAAAAATATTACCAGTAATACATTTTTGAAAAAATATATGACGAGCAATACATTTTTGGAAAAATATTACATTTTTTAAAAAAAATATTATGAACAATACATCTAAAAATATTAATAGCAGTACATTTTTTTTAAAATAACGGCATATCAATTTCTTATGGGTCATTTAACACCGAAATTTAATTTTCTTGGGAGCTTTGAAGTAATAGAAATATGTTATTCTACTTTCACAATTGAATACATGGTAGATGATACTCCGCTTTTGTGCATATACATGTTTGTATGGACATAATTACTAGAGGTGATTATATGTGTTTTTTAAGTGTAGTTTTACAGTTAAATACATTTTGATTTCTTTAAGAATTTGTAGGATATTATGTGGGTTAATGTCATGAAAGAATTCATTCATGTTGAATATTTGGTTGATTTTGCTGAGCGGCATATCAATCTCTATGGTTTATTTAATTCCAAAATCTAAACATTTTGAAGGCAATTCGACTACAGATAAAATGTATTGTTGGTCATTTTGCTATAAAACCTATTAATGGTCATTTTGCTTTCAATATGTATTGCTGGTCATTTTACTATAAATACGTAGTTTTATATTGTGTCGTTTTTGTTTGGGGATTCAGTATTTGCTCGTAGATTGGACCCTAACCCCCTCGGGTCAAGGCGGTACTGGGAGGAATTAAAATGTGATCCCACGATGCTCACCATCCCCCATCTCCCGATCACGGGTCTTGCTGCCGGTTGAAATTTATCGTCATACCCAGGACTAGTTATACAGAGCGCGATAATCTAAAATTCCTATGTTCATAAAACAAACCTATTCAGTAACATTCTACCTTGAGGTGCTCTTGAACCATGGATTAGTTGAACAATAGCTACAAAATGTCTGCTAATGCTCTTAGTCTTCAGTAGTTGATCAAAGACTATGTAGTGTTTATTTGAAGAACCAAACAGTGTTTTTGTATGAGCGTGATTACTATAAAAATAGTAATCCGGTGGAAAAAACAGTCGCATCAAAAATTGAAATCAATCCTGGTTGAGAACTTAGTATTATGACATTTCGCTCAGAAAATATTTATGATTTTGTAGATATCAAGAACAAAATGTCCACGTCTTTAAAAGCGATAAAAGGGAACAACGAAATGAGAAGAGATAAAAAAAAATTATAAATTTATTTTTGCAGAATCTGAGACAATCAAATAGAAACGCTTGTAGACGCAGTGATATGTACACGGACAGAATGGTATTTAAAAAAAAAAAAAACAAGAAATAATGTCTACATTGTTTTAAAGAAGAAATATATTGAATATGTCGAGAGAAATAAAATAATAATCACCTGCAAACGGGTTTGTTAAAGATGAAGTACGTTGAAGAAGAAAAAAGACGATGATGATCGAGTGAGACCAGACGATTACACCTTCTAAAATAGCCATACATTGACTGATCAAAACCTAATTTGGGGGAGAAATGGAAACAGATAAGCAGCTACAAAGAACATTTAGCTTTACGTAGCATAGTACAATAAATTTCCATTCATTTTTGTTTTTTGAAATAATAAAAGTTTAATATTTAACATTATTATTTAAGGTTATTATTTAACATACCAAAAACTTTTAGCAACAATTTAATGTTTAAAATAAAAAGAAATACTTATTTAATAAAGATGCAATATTGTTTTTTGCATATCTTTTCTTTGTTTTTGTATATACAAAAATGCAGTTTCCAGTTCGCCTTGCATTTGCGAGAAATATAAACAAATCATGAAACCCAACGTTTCAAAAGGTTGGAAGTTTTCTCCAGAAAGAAATATTTACGCATGGCCAGTTGTAAGTTGTATATTCAAGAGAAAGAAATTGTAAAAAAAATTTTCTTCGCTGTTAAAAGGAAAAAAAAAAAATCTTGAAATATATTGTTTAACATGAAGTGCTATAAAATTAAATTAATATAAAGAAATTATTAAACAGCGAAGTATATTTTTTGTCAAAGTATTTTTCCAAAAGAATCAGTTTATTCAAATGTCATCGATTGGTTTGCAACACTGAACGAAAAGTAGAGTTTGTAAATCTCGACACAAAATGTTAGGATTTGAACACACTTCAGCGTGTTGCAAAAACATCTAATATTAAAACAAGTCTAGCTAGGGAAATGGGGTCTTAAACTTCTCACCTTCTACGCTTGCAAGTGTATCACATTATCGACTATCTGTAAACCTACTTACTCATTAATTGCAATCCTGGGGAACAGCTGCCCGAGGTCGCGCCTTCTCGTTGCACTAGAGAGAAGGATCGGTGCAAGCACCGAGGCCAGCGCAACCAACGGTTGCTCGGGGAATTTTTGTTCCTTGCCCGGGTGCACGCGCTCGGGCTCCCCACATTAAACCGACCTTGTGTCACAACCTGATCTCGTGGGGGTGTTGAGTAAATATTTACTCATTAATTGCAACACAGGAAGTTGTAGGGAAAATATAACGGGAGCTTTATTTTAATCATTTCACCGCTACTTCCTCTAGGAGTCAGCGGGCTACAGGAAGTGAATGAAATTAAGAAGATGTTACTGGGGAGAAGTGAAGAAAGGACAATAATGGAACAGGATTCAGGAAAACAGAAGAAGGCGATTGGCGTTGCATTTAAATTCTTGAAAATTGTAGATGACAGAGAAACAAGAAATCGAGAAAGAATTCTGCAGGTGATAGATGCAGGAAAAGAAACGGTTAGAATAGAAGTGGTCGTTGCATTTAGCTATTTCAACTGTTCAATGCACGGGCGAATGGTAGATTTATAAATGTGTGATCAGGATGAGCCTGAAATGCAATTTACAGGTCGGTGACACTAAAATCTAGCAGGTGCGAAAATTTAAATATCTGGGAAGAGTTCTGACAGAGGACGGTAAGTGCGACGCTGAGATACGAAGACGTATTGGGATAGGACAAAGAGACATTCCAAAAGCTAGACAGAGTATCACGAGACAGGAGGATTTCATTGACAACAAAGAAAAGAGCACTGAACGGCTATCTGTCCTCCTTTACGGTAGCGAATGTTGGACGGCCTCCTCAAAGATGAAGAAGAATTTCGAGGCAACGGAGGGATGGTTCTACAGAAGGATGCTAAGGATACCATAGACCGAACATGTGAGCAATGATGCGATTTTGGAGACAATGCAAAGAAGGAAGAAGCTTCTACTTAACATTAGGAAGAGGCTGCTGAAATTTCTGGGATACGTAATGAGAAAGTAATGCTTGGAGAATCTGATGCTCACAGGTCGAATAGCGAAAAGATAGACAAAGGAAAGCAACACGTGACATACCTAGCGGACTTAAGCAAGTGGATGAAAGAACATAGCCGCGGGGAAGTGACAAAGAGACAAAACTTGTCGAGAGCTACAATGGTTAGGGGCGAGTGGAGATCCATGATCGCCCACGGCCTGGAAGGACACGGCGTATAAAAGAAGTAGAAGATGGATTCTAAGGAGAAAAATCTTCTGGAAGGACACAGTGAAGCTTATTTCCTAGCAGTAGACTTATTTTAAGGTTTGCGAATCTCAAAACATTTTCCAATATATTAGGTTGGTGCAAAAATAATGACGTAATAATGTCGTTTTTTGACGTTAAAATATACGTCACAAAACGACATTATTACGTCATTATTTTTGCACCAATCTAATAGAATATTACTAATTGTTTCTTTACGTTTTGCCATCTGCTTTGGTTTGGTTTGTTTAGTTTTACGGCATATCAACCTCAATGGTCCATTTAATGCCGACATTTTTTTTTTTTTTCTGGTAATATTTTTGTTTTGTCAAAAATCTATTTCTGGTAATGTTTTTTCCTAAAAAATGTATAGCTGTTAACATTATTTTGTTTCAAAAACATTTTCCTGGTAACAGTTTTTTTTTTCTTCAAAAATTTATTTCTGGTAATAGTTTTTTCTAAATTCTTTCTGGTATTAAAACCTATTTTTAGATTTGCATAATGCTTTTTACTTCAGTTTCGGGGTTATCTATTTGATCATATCTGGGACCCTAACAGGTGCAACCAACCTGGGTCGGGGTGGACCTGGGAACAACAGCAATTAAGAGGTGGTTCCACGCTCCTCAAAACCTCCTGGTCAGAGACCTTGCTGTTGGACGTAATTTATCGTCAGGACGTTTGACATCTGGGTTTAAGAAACTTTCCTGGAAACACTTCTGTATAACAGGGAAAACTTGAGGTATTATAATTATTTTTTTGCTTTTCTTTCATTGCTTTCGATCATTCACACCACCCGAAATAATCCAAAATGTAAGGATTACTGGTAATAACTAAACTTAGTACAAACTAATTTAAGGATAACAAGATTCTAAAAACTGTGTAAAAACAGTTTATTTTGTGTGAATAGGACAGATTTACTTCGAAAATCAGCATTTAAAATTCCGAATTTGTATTCAATGTCAACCTTTTAAAACAGTGAGAAGTACGTATCAATCACACAGGAGAACGAAATATTTATTTACAAATCTTAGTTTAACCTGAGCTATTTCTTTTTCTTTGGTGATGTGTCCATTTGAGAGACTAATAGGAATTATCGTTGTTGGTTGAGTGGTCGAACGAAGGCACGTAGGGTTGTCATGAGAGACGTCAGCTCGACGTGGTTGCCATGGCATTGTCGAAGCTCGATTCCGATATTGGAGAAGCGGAGACGCGCCATGACACTAATAAGAACTAAATGGAGAGAGTGGGATGAGTAAAAAGGAGGAACAGGAAAATAATGAGAGAGACACAGAGAGAAAGAGAGAGTGAAAAGAAGGAAGAAAAGAAAGAAAGGAAAGCCACGAGAAGACTTTTATTGAAGTGTACGATACGTGCGAGGTAGAAAGAAAGAAAGAAAGAAAGAAAGAAAGAAAGAAAGAAAGAAAGAAAGAAAGAAAGAAAGAAAGAAAAGCTGAAGATACTCGAAATAAAAATGAAATCTATGAAAAGAAAAAGTGGAAAAATAACGAAAGAATCGTAAGGGAGAGATTATAGAAAAAAAGAAAGATAGCAAAAGAAAAAGAAAGAAATAAAAATGATAAAAGGATATAAATACAAATGAAAACAAGGAAAAAGAAAAGTGAAAAGAAAGAAAGAAAGAAAGAAAGAGAGAAAGAAAGAAAGAAAGAAAGAACAAACAAACCTTCAAATAAAATAACCAACACAACCGTTTCAGAACAGATAGATAGATAGATAGATAGATAGATAGATAGATAGATAGATAGGAAGAGACTGATATATGAACAGGCGAGGATAGATAGATAGATAGATAGATAGATAGATAGATAGATAGATAGATAGGAACAGACTGATATATGAACAGGCGAGGATAGATAGATAGATAGATAGATAGATAGATAGGAAGAGACTGATATATGAACAGGCGAGGATAGATAGATAGATAGATAGATAGATAGATAGATAGATAGATAGATAGATAGAAACAGACTGATATATGAACAGACTGGATAGATAGATAGATAGATAGATAGATAGATAGATAGATAGATAGATAGATAGATAGATAGATAGATAGATGATAGATAGGAACAGACTGATATATGAACAGACGAGGATAGATAGATAGATAGATAGGAACAGACTGATATATGAACCGGCAAGGATAGATAGATAGATAGATAGATAGATAGATAGATAGATAGATAGATAGGAACAGACTGATATATGAACAGGCGAGGATAGATAGATAGATAGATAGGAACAGACTGATATATGAACAGGCGAGGATAGATAGATAGATAGATAGATAGATAGATAGATAGATAGATAGATAGAACAGACTGATATATGAAAAGGCGAGGATATATAGATAGATAGATAGATAGATAGATAGATAGATAGATAGATAGATAGATAGGAACAGACTGATATATGAACAGGCGAGGATAGATAGATAGATAGATAGATAGATAGATAGATAGATGGATAGATAGGAACAGACTGATATATGAACAGACGAGATGATAGATAGATAGATAGATAGATAGATAGATAGATAGATAGATAGATAGATAGATAGGAACAGACTGATATATGAACAGACGAGGATAGATAGATAGATAGATAGGAACAGACAGATATATGAACAGGCGAGGACTTATAGATAGATAGATAGATAGATAGATAGATAGATAGATAGGAACAGACTGATATATGAACAGGCGAGGATAGATAGATAGATAGATAGATAGATAGGAACAGACTGATATATGAACAGGCAAGGATAGATAGATAGATAGATAGATAGATAGATAGATAGGAACAGACTGATATATGAACAGGCGAGGATAGATAGATAGATAGATAGATAGATAGGAACAGACTGATATATGAACAGACGAGGATAGATAGATAGATAGATAGATAGGAACAGACTGATATATGAACAGGCGAGGATAGATAGATAGATAGATAGATAGATAGATAGATAGATAGATAGATACTGATATATAAACAGACGAGGATAGATAGATAGATAGATAGATAGATAGATGAACAGACGAGGATAGATAGATAGATAGATAGATAGATAGATAGATAGATAGATAGATAGATAGATAGATATGAACAGACTGATATATGAACAGACGAGGATAGATAGATACATAGATAGAGATAGATAGATAGATAGGAATAGACTGAGATAATGACAGTAAGAAAGAAAGAAAGAAAGAAAGAAGAAAGATAGGAACAGACAAGGATAGATACATGCATACATAATAATAGCTGGCCACTCGTCTTCGATATACCCTATTGCAGGCGCTCGCTTAGGCACATCGACAGATTCGAACAGACTGAGGTATATGAAAATACCCACCCACAGAGCCCACCTGTGGTTTATATTGCAACTACGCTGAGCAGACCTTAGTTACAGTTTCTAGGGTGATCAACAATCTGAACAAGACCAGCACACTCAAAACCTTGGTCGATGACAGCTAGTAATTTCACTCACTGGGTCAACCTGGTATGGTCTTCAGACCGATAACATCAGTCTCCCTCCTGACAAATCAACCGTGATGAGATTCGAACCTGGGTCTCATGGTCAGAAACGACCGTCCTAACCACTCGGCCATGCGCCCATACATACATACAAACAGGCTGAAATATATGAACAGACGAGGATAGATAGATAGATAGATAGATAGATAGATAGATACGAACAGATTGGGATAGATAGATAGATAGATAGATAGATAGATACGAACAGATTGGGATAGATAGATAGATAGATAGATAGATAGATAGATAGATAGATAGATAGATAGATAGGTGAAGTAGACTGAGATAGATAAAGTAGACTGAGATAGATAGATAGATAGATAGATAGATAGATAGATAGATAGATAGGAACAGACTGATATATGAACAGGCGAGGATAGATAGATAGATAGATAGATAGATAGATAGATAGATAGATAGATAGATAGATAGATAGGAACAGACTGATATATGAACAGGCGAGGATAGATAGATAGATAGATAGATAGGAACAGACTGATATATGAACAGGCGAGGATAGATAGATAGATAGATAGATAGATAGATAGATAGATAGATAGATAGGAACAGACTGATATATGAACAGGCGAGGATAGATAGATAGATAGATAGATAGATAGGAACAGACTGATATATGAACAGGCGAGGAGGATAGATAGATAGATAGATAGATAGATAGATAGATAGATAGATGAATAGAACAGACTGATATATGAACAGGCGAGATAGATAGATAGATAGATAGATAGATAGATAGATAGGAACAGACTGATATATGAACAGACGAGGATAGATAGATAGATAGATAGATAGATAGGAACAGACTGATATATGAACAGGCGAGGATAGATAGATAGATAGATAGATAGATAGATAGATAGATAGATAGATAGATAGGAACAGACTGATATATGAACAGGCGAGGATAGATAGATAGATAGATAGATAGATAGATAGATAGATAGGAACAGACTGATATATGAACAGACGAGGATAGATAGATAGGAACAGACTGATATATGAACAGGCGAGGATAGATAGATAGATAGATAGATAGATAGATAGATAGATAGATAGGAAGATACTGATATATAAACAGACGAGGATAGATAGATAGATAGATAGATAGATAGATAGATAGATAGATAGATAGATGAACAGACGAGGATAGATAGATAGATAGATAGATAGATAGATAGATAAATAGGAACAGACTGATATATGAACAGACGAGGATAGATAGATAGATAGAGATAGATAGATAGATAGGAATAGACTGAGATAATGACAGTAAGAAAGAAAGAAAGAAAGAAAGAAAGAAAGAAAGGAATAGACAATGATAGATACATGCATACATAATAATAGCTGGCCACTCGTATTCGATATACCCTATTGCAGGCGCTCGCTTAGGCACATCGACAGATTCGAACAGACTGAGGTATATGAAAATACCCACCCACAGAGCCCACCTGTGGTTTATATTGCAACTACGCTGAGCAGACCTTAGTTACAGTTTCTAGGGTGATCAACAATCTGAACAAGACCAGCACACTCAAAACCTTGGTCGATGACAGCTAGTAATTTCACTCACTGGGTCAACCCGTGGTATGGTCTTCAGACCGATAACATCAGTCTCCCTCCTGACAAATCAACCGTGATGAGATTCGAACCTGGGTCTCATGGTCAGAAACGACCGTTCTAACCACTCGGCCATGCGCCCATACATACATACAAACAGGCTGAAATATATGAACAGACGAGGATAGATAGATAGATAGATAGATAGATAGATAGATAGATACGAACAGATTGGGATAGATAGATAGATAGATAGATAGATAGATACGAACAGATTGCGATAGATAGATAGATAGATAGATAGATAGATAGATAGATAGATAGATGAAGTAGACTGAGATAGATAAAGTAGACTGAGATAGATAGATAGATAGATAGATAGATAGATAGATAGATAGATAGATACGAACAAACATGAACGAAGGAAAAAAGATCGATAAAGAGAGACAGAGAGACTCAGACAGACAAATATTAATAGACTGGGATAGATCTATCTATATAGCTAAATAGATGGAAATACTGAGATAGATGAATAGATAGTTATGACTCAAATAAGATTATTAATAGAATGAGATATAGTGATAAGTGTCATTTGTATATTTTTTATGTGTAATTAAAGTGATAATATATCCAATTGGTTGAATCTTCACAAAAGAATCTTCGCAAAACAATTGGACTTGATTCCAAGCTAAATTTTCCCGCATCCCAATTTAATGTAATGCCTTATTTTAATCTATGTTCACATCGATAATCACGTATTTAATAGTGATACGTGTTGTTATTAACCTTTGTCGTGTGGTTTCATCTTATCAGAATCTTAATTAGGACTATCAAATTTCCTAGAAATCAATATGTTTGGTTACTGTTGCTACAAACGCTAAGTTGGGAATCTCTAATTAGTGTCAGTCCTTTATGTCTACGGCATTCTTATTCGAAGTTTCAATCAACCATGTATCCAAGATCTTCGAAAAAATACTCCAGAAAACAACGATAGGTCACTGAACTTTTCACAGATACTTCTAGTTCTGTTATGGGTCGTTTCTCTTCAAGGCGTAGACGCTCATTGCTCTTCACTTCACTCTGACGATTGTAGCCCTCAACAAGTTTTGTTCCTTTGCTACTTCGCCCAGGCCCTGTTCTTTTATCCACTTGCTTAAGCCCGCTACGTATGCTTTCCCTTGTCTCTCGTTCTCTCTAATCGCCTCGTGAATACCAGATTCTCCAAACATTCCTTTCTCATTACGTGTCCCAGAAATCTCAGCTGCCTCTTTCCGATGTTAAGTATAAGCTTCCCCCAAAACCTCATCGTTGCTCACACTCTCGGTCCATGATATCCTTAGCACCCTTCTGTAGAACCATACCACCGTTGCCTAGAGTCTCTTCTTTATCTTTGAGGAGACCGTCCAACATTCGCTTCCGTAAAGGAGGACAGATACCATGTAGCAGCTCAGTAATCTTTTCTTTGTTACTAACGAAATCCTCCTGCCTCGTAATACTCTGTCGACATTTTGGAATATGTCTTTGGCCATTCCAATACGTCTTCGGATCTCAGCTTAGCACTTAACGTCCTGTGTCAAAACACTTCCCTGATATTTAAATTTCCGCTCCTGCTTGATTTTTTATTGTCCCCGTCCTGTAAAACGCATTTCGGGCTTATCTTTGTTTACTGATTACCATATATTCTGTTTTCTTGTAGTTTATGCTTAGTCCCTTCTCTTCACTCTCCTTGGCTACCTTCTGTAGGAGGATTTATAATTTCTTTTCCGTGTCTACTATCAGTACTGTGTCATCTGCGTATCTTATGAAGATTGTGGCTGCCAATAATGAATCCCGGATACTATACAGGGTTATTGAAAAAGAAAGAACATATTTCGAAAATTGAATAAAATAATTGCTTAGAGACAGAAATACATTCAACACATTACTGGATAGGTTTATTATTTTAAGCTTACACTTCGCAAATTGTCGTACACAAAATGAATTTTTGTGCTGTGGCATTTTACGAGTTGACACAAATTATAACAATTTAAAATTATACAATTTCTGAAAAAAAGAAACAAAATGAAGAATTTAAACAAGACTGAAAAATGTCCATTTATTTTAATAACTTTGAAATTTTTCCTACGCAGCAATGGGTAATAATTTTCTAAGCGTAGCTTAGATGTGGCACAATGCCGAAAGCAAGGGGCACTCAGAGATAGATTGAACTCACTACTTAGTCGTAATTGTTCTAGCGGGAAGAAAGTAATGCGATGAATGTGTTTCTCTATCGTAGCATTTACGTTTATTAAATTTTCGAAATCTGTACTTTGTATTTGTCAGTGTGTCACTGCGTCACACTTTTTCAAATAAAGGGACACAACTCTCTAACTTTTATAGCTAATATTACAGAATTTTTTATTCCCAAGTTTTCATTACAGCAGTTGTTTTCGGCGAATTTTACGTGATTTTTTTGTGACGAATTTTTTTGTATAATAACAGTTTTTGTAACTTGGAAATAAATTTGGGTATAATCAAAATTATTTGCCAAATCTCGTTAAATAAAAATAATTGTTTGTACGGAAAGTAAAGACATAAGCACAACAAACTGTCTTTAAATTACGTGCGGCAATAGAATTATCATTATTTACATTATTCGGACTATTGTCCTCATCTTTGTCGCCATATTTATCACAGCGTTTCGGCCGTTGTACGCTCCGGCCTTCTTCAGGTGGTTGGAATTTTGAACTGAACCCTTTATTTCGCTCACTGGGGTAGAGTGTTCTTGTTCCACGTGCCATGTTTGATGGATGTCAGTTATCAGTTATCTCCTGCTAATTTCCCTCTGCCTTAACCAGGTATTGAACTCACACTCTTTGGGTCCTGTCACTGGATCTAACCAACGCTTTTATCCACTGTGCCATGTGTCCTAGAATTATCGTTGGACTTTTAAAAGGTAAGCTTAAATATTAATGCAATACTTAAATGTAGCGATAAATTTTGTGTTTTTCTGTTAGTTTATTGTTGCCTATCGCATATCGTAGAAAGAAATCTCCGTCAACAGAGGACCAGATTGCAATCAAAAGAGCCAAGGCTGCAGCAAGGGAACAAAAAGTCCCGTGCAAATGAAAACCTAGATCAAACGGCAGCCAGGAGAGTTTCCACTGCTGAGAATATGCAAAGACTCAAAGACTCTGAAACTCCTGAACAAACCGAAAACTCAATGAAGAGCCCTCCGCAGGAGCTAGCTTTAATGCCCGCTGAAACATTAAAATTCAGACACAAAACTGAAATCAGCAAATATAGATTAGTAAAACTTCAAACGATAAAAGTCCATTTCTTTTATCGGTAACTCAAACCCTGTTCTACTATAGAGATTTTCCAAGTGTAGATTAGATGAGGCACAGGGCCGAAATTATGGGGCACACAGTGAGGAACGAACTCACTACTCAGTCATAATTATTCTAGCAAGACAAGCTTGCTAACCATTACATCGCTTCGAGGTGCCCAAATAGAGATGTTCTAAGGGCAGCTTAGATGGGGCCCAAGGCCGAAAGTATGGGGCACCCGGTGAGGACCGATCTCACTACATAGTCGTAAACTATCCAGCAAGGCAACTTGTTCTGCTATAGATGCGGTTTTTCCTGGGTACAGATTCGATTCCTGTCGAAAGCATAATCTTTCTTTAGAAGGACTTTCGTGGGATAATCTAGGATAATTGTTATAAATTTCCATCCTTAAGAAAATAAAAAAGCATACATAGCAGGTCAAAAACGTATACCCAATAAAAATAACGGTAATCATTAATGCGAAAAAATGTCAGAAACACACACACACACACACACACACACACACACACACATATATATATATATATATATATATATATATATATATATATATTTTTACATTATTCGGACTATTGTCCTCATCTTTGTCGCTATATTTATCACAACGTTTCGGCCGTTGTACGCCCCGGCCTTCTTCAGGTGGTTGGAATTTCGAACTGAACCCTTTATTTCGCTCCCTGGGGTAGACTGTTCTAATTCCACGTGCCATGTTTGATGGATGTCAATTATCAGTTATCTCCTGCTAATTTCCCTCTGAAAGTGCTCCACTGCCTTTAACCGGGTATTGAACTCACACTCTTTGGGTCCTGTCACTGGATCTAACCAATGCCTTTATCCACTGTGCCATGTGTCCAGAAACGTTCTGATAAATATGGCGACAAAGATGGCGACAATAGTCCGAATAATGTAAATGATGTACATAATGCCCCATCTCAGAAATATACATACATATATATATATATATATATATATATATATATATATATATATATATATATATATATATATATAGGTAAGAGGAGAACGAATAGAGTACAATTCCAGCGTTCATAACATTTAATTTAAAAAGAGAGCTCAATACAAAATAGAGCAATATTCTACATTTTAAGATATTACATCGAAAACATGTCAAAATCGCTACACAATTGCAGTCGTGTTTCGATGCGTATCAATGCATTCATCAGGCGATTGTAATTTACAGGCGAGTGAACGATTTATTTAGATTTAAAAGCAAAATATAGTTTCTTTTTTACGAAAGAAAGAAAAAATGGGTCGTTATAAGGTTTGTGGGCTTTAATCAGATCAACCAATCAAATATGGCCTACGTTAAATTTACAGTAAGGGAATAAGCAACAATTAAGAAATTATTTTCCATAAATGGGTCATGACCCATAGATTTGCCATCAATGGCAGAACAGACTTTAAACAGGAGCGGATGTAAGTGGATGCATATTTTATACACTAGACAATGTCATTTCTTAAGAAACAAATGTAGTGGTAATTTAACAAAAATCGAGACAAAAAAAATACAATTGCACCAATAATTTTGCGAAGATCATAAAGTTGCTCAACAATAAAATTCTAAACCAATTAAATAATCTGAATCATAATACAAGTTCCAAGGAAAATATATATACATTTGTTCATATCACATACATATAAATACATCTGCTTTATTCGCTAAAAATACGCATACACATATGAAAAAATACCTCAAACTTAATAAAAACAAAGTTTTATCGCCAAAATCTTTATTATTACTAAGAGGACAAATATCAAAGAAGTTTTTTTAACTAATAAATTATATTTTAATCTTTTTAGATAATTCAAAATGTTGGTCATTTTTTTCTTGAGTGAGTATAAATTACTAATTTAGTATCTTTTTTGCGGTGAATAACACATTGATTTGGAAAATCTTATAAAAATAAAAAAAATGTAGGATTTTAATGAAGCGTTCAGGACTTATGATAAATGAATGAAATTATTTTAGAAATGTTTCTGTTTTTAGAAAATCTTGGTAAAAATGAGTTTATTTTTTTACATATGTTAATCCCCTCTCGACACACACATATTTAGTTTTATAAAAT